AAAAAAAAAAAAAAAAACCAGGATGGGCAAAAATAGCTATGTAGCCTTGGTGACGGAAAATGAAAGAAGTTGCTCTCTTATGTGGTAGGAGATTGGGGCTTTTGTGATGGAGAGCAAGCTGACCATTGCAGAGCTTGGCAGATTCTACAGCTTGCTTAGACTCTAGAGTTTCAGTGGCACTAAGCTGATTGGTTGCACAATTTGTCACTTCTAAGTGCAAGTCTGGACTATGGTTGGTTGGGTTCATCCAGGGTTGAGTTTTGATGAGTCCAGTGCATCAGAAGGACAATGGACAAACAGAGTGAGTGGCTGAGTGATGGATCCCCAAACCCAAGGAACAGAAGTAAGTACAGGAGACACCTGAGGGGAAGGAAGGAATAGGGGAGTTCGCACATTGGAGGCCTCAGTGAAGGGGAAGAAGTGTGGGTAAGTTCAGAGGGCTAGGCAGTTGTGATGAGAGTGGCAGTCTGCAACCACCCTTTCAGCAGAGGAACAAGATGGATGTTGAGGTCTGGGGTTGGTATGGGAATGGTGGCAGCACTGACACGGAACTGAAAGTCACAGAAGATTAAAAGGTTAAGGAAATGAGGGCCAGGTGTGCATATAACCTTGCTGTCTCGAGCCTGGGGAGAGCATCTAGATGGCCCCTGAGCCATAGCCTGTGAACACTCCAGTCCTTCAAATTCAGCACCCTTCCTAGAACCTCAGCTTCCCCCAGCACAGCCTCTCCCTTTCAGGTATACCTTCCCCCATCTCTGCCTACTGGTTGAGCTCCTGCTTTCAAAATAAACAACAATGAATCCTGGTTCTCTAAGCCACAACACACACACACACACACACACACACACACACACACACACACCATGAGTGCCAGAGAGGGCTGCTGATAACTGCAGCTGCCTTGACCCATGTCCAGACTACGCTTTGTCTCAGTCAGTAATTCCCTTCTGGGGAATCTTAGGTATAGTATGAATTAATATGAAGTACTATTCAGTCATAAAGATACATTTGAATCATTTGTAGGAAAATGAATGGCTCTGGAGACCATAATACTGTGTGAAATAAATCAGACACAGAAGATTAAATACTATATGGTTCCTCTAATATGAGAGGCCCATAATATAAATAATTTAAAGAGAAAAATAAATGAGAGATGGGCCGGGGATTTAGCTCAGTGGTTCTGCCGCCTGCCTCACAAGCCAAGGGCCTGAGTTTGATCCCCGGTACCAAAAAAAAAAAAAAGAGAGAGAGAGATGAGAGATGGTAGGAAACAGTGAGGTAGACTGTAGAAATGGGAAAGGAAACTGGGAGAGAAGGACATGGGAAGGGCAGGGAGAAGCAGTAGAAATGATCAACACGTGATATGTATATGTACCAGTTCCCCAAAATGAATGTAGTTATTATTTGTCACAAACATCTACTAATAAAAATACATTTAAAATGTTTAAAAAGAGAATGAATTAAAGCTGTGACCCTTGTCACCCTCCTGTCCCCAGGATCTGCCTTAGAGCTGGGTGAGCCCCCTGAATGCAGGGTGCATCCTGATCCATCTCCCTGGAAGCCAAGGTTGCATAGCTCAGGTCAGCCAGTACTCTGATTCCCTGGCCCTTTCCCAAATGACTCAGTGGCCTCTGAGAGCTAAAAGACCCCTGCCACTCATGTCTCCTCGCTTTAGTCCATCCCTCACCTCTCCCACCTCCCCTCTTCTAGAGCAGATACCTTCTGAAGGGCATGTGAAGAAGTGCTTCAGCGTGTCCTGCGTGGTCCTCAGCCTCTGCTCCAAGGCTTCCCTCTGCTTCTCCTCCCCTTGCAAGGCCTCTGTGGTCTTCTGCCCATCCACCTGGCAGGTGTTTAGCTGCTCCTTGGCAGCCTGGTGACTCCTCTGCTCCTCCTGTAGCGCTTCCTGACTCCGAGCCAGCTCTTTACTGGACTCCTGCAGGTCCTCTTCCTTCTGCCCCAGCTGAGTTATTCTTTGGTGGAGCTGCTGCTGAAGGCTGCTGTTAGTGGCTTCCAGAACCCTGTTCATGTGCTGGAGCTGCTGAGAAACCTGCAGATCTGTTTGGCCATAAAGAGAGATTTGGAGGCCATCTCCTCCAGCTATGTCCTAATGCTCGGAGACAGCAGCATCAGCCCTTTTTCTGCTTCTTGCAACTTTCTCTGTAACAAGCTGAAATATAAAACCTAGCTCCATAAAGCTAAAGGGCACTGTGCTAGTTAAGGACAATTTAGGAACCCAGGGCGCTCTAAGATGTACAAGGGAGGGGAACCAGATCCAAAGCTAAGTGTGAGTAGTGACTATGGGCCTTGTTGAAGGAAGGCAGTTTTGAGGGGCAGACGAGAAGGAATTTGGGGTGAGTGGGAAATGGGGGGCAGCCATACTCACAGCGCACTCCCAGGCAGATAGCAGCCACTCCTAACAGCAGGCAGGTGAGGACTAGGCCTAGTAAGAGGTGTTGCAAGCAGGTAGCAGGGCCTTGGGGACAGAGATGGGGGTGAGTGCCAGTCCCTGAAAAGACTTTATAGAATGAGGGTATTCCTGGGGAAAGCATCCCTAAGAGAACAGCAAAGGGGCATTGTGGGTTTTGTCAGGTAGTGGGTGTTTTGCAAGTAGGGATTAGGGGTGTTTCAGACCAAGGGGCTGGGGACTGTAACTGGTAAGGAGGATCGAGGGGCACTGTCCGGTAGGAGAGTAACCAGACAGAGAGAGGGAAAGGGTTGAGCGAGAGGGATGTGTGAATGGGGACGGTCCGCAAGGGGGCGGGTTGTGATCTATCTAGGTCGACAAGTTAGGGTAAGGCTGAGCCGGGTGGAAACAGGTCCCCCACCCGGCGCGGCCCAGCGCCTTCCCGGCGGGCACCTGCGCAGGCGCCTCCAGTCCGCTGCCCCAGCCCCTCCATGCTCGCGCCCGGCGGGGCAGCTGTGGGCAGCACGCGCGGGACTCGGGAAGGGCGATACCCACAAGCGAGAATCCACGCGACAGCCGGCGAGGTCGCGGAGCTCCAGGACGCAGTCTTCTGCTCCGAACTGACCCCTACGGAAGGGGGGCGTCCTGTGTGAACACGGGAAGCCCCGGGGAATGTCCCTCTGTTCACCCTGTCCCCCGACACGTCGAGGCCCAAGACTGCCCCGGTGTCGCCCCCTGAATCTGCCCTCAGACACCGCATCACCTGGAGTCCCTGGGCTTCCCCGGACATTCTCACCTCCCTCTTTGGTTACCCTTTATCCCTGATCGGCTCCTCGGGGCCATTACTTGCAGCCCCCGCCCCTCCCCGTTGCTCTCATCCGTTTCTAATCCTCTCTTCTCTCTTCACCTCCCCATCTCCCAGCAGAACTCATCTCCCCCAAGGCTGCTCTGACTCTGTCCCCCAGCACCTGTCAGCCCACTGGCGTCTCCAACCGGCCCGGGTCTGTCTTCTCTCCCTGGCTCCCTTTTATCCTGTTCTCATTCATTCCCTTCTTTCCCAAACACTGCCCTCCTTCCTAGTCTCCCTTGTGCAAAACACCCCCACAGACACATCCCGGGGCTCCCCTTACCTGCTCTGTCCCCTACCCCAGAAGAAACCAAGCCCACCCCACTGGGGACTGTTGGCACTTGTACGTTCTCATATGTGAGTTCCCCATCCTCATCCTCGTAGGCCTCTGCATCTGCAGAGAAAAGAAACCCCAAGGTGGGAGTCAGGAATGGGCTATCAAGGGGTCAGGGATGCAGGATCAGGGAAGACCCCTTCCCTCTCACCTGGTCCTAAGCGGCCAGAGATGCTTTTCTTCAGGGGAGCCTTCACAAACCGCAGGTCTGCATAGGTGATGGCCTCAGCCATGGTCCTCAACACCTTTACCCCGACCCGTCTCCCCTCTCATCCAGCCCAAGCCTCCCTGGCTGCTCTCTGTCCCTCACAATCTTAAGCTTAGTGTTCTCTCTGTGACTGCGCTTTGCTCTCTGACTTGAAGATGAAAAAGAGGAAGGTGTAAGTCTACCACAGATGGGCTCAGTGAAGCAGAATCGTCCCTGGGCCAGAGCCAGAGGGGCAGGGGAGGGACACTAAGGTCCTAAGCACCGGGGTGGGGCCTGGGCAAGTGTCCCCCTCATCTTCAAGTGTCCTAGACCCCCCTCTGGCCTCGTACTACTGAGATCCACACACCTGTCCTCCTGGTTATCTGCCCTAATTTGCGCCCCCCCAAATGCCAGCTCATCAGTTTGTTGTTGTTGGGGCTCTTTTGTGCCCAGCTGACCCCAAACCATGTCCCAGTCAATCTTCCCCATCAGATTGCCCTTAGCTTCTTGTCATTTGGGGGTTTCCAGTAGGTCCATGGACTCCCAGAAAGGGACTCCTGATTTGGAGGCTTAAGTGAGGCCCGTGTCCCCCTCCATGCTGGGGGTTTTAGGGTGGACCCAGCTGCCCTCCTGCTAGCTTCACTAAACTGCCACACAGAGAAGGCCTCACTCAGATGTCCTTCCTGGGAATGTGGCGGCCCTTTGGGGTTGCAGGGAACACCTGGCCTACTGATTTCCCTATAAACACTGCAGACTCTTGCCTTGCAGCTTTTCCTGACCCTTCCACTTTGCTGTCCAGCTGCTCATACCCATGGCCAGCCAAGCCCTTTCTTCTCCCACTCTGAGGCTGCCAGACTGGGGCATCCTCTGTGTCCCCAGGAGTATCCAAGCTGAATCCAGTGAGCAGATCCCAGGAGGCAGAGCCTCTGAAACAGGCTTGTGCAGGACTGAGGGTAAGGGCCAACCACTGCTGGAGCACCTCAGAGGAAGCCCATGGCAGTCCTGACCCTTGTGCACCCTGCAGGAGACAGGTGGACCCATGAGCATAGAGCTGCATAGCAACCAAGAAGTGCTGTGGCTTCTTAGCCAGAGGTGAGGCACACACCTGTAATCCCAGCTGCTCAGAAGGCTGAGAAAGGAGAATTGCCAGTTTGAAGCCAGCCTGGAAAACATAGTAAGGCACTGTCTTTACAAAATAAATAAATAAAAATAAAAGGGGCTGGGAATTTATAGCTCAGTGGTAGAGATTGTCTAGCATGCACAAGACCCTGGATGCAATCTCCAATACCACCACCACCAAAATGTTCTTCTTTGCAAAGGTCCCAGGTGCTGGGAATGTGTAGCTCAGTAGTAGAGCATGAACATCATACACTAGGTTCAATCTCCAGCACCAAAAAAATAGAAAATCTCAACATTGTCCCTTTACACCCAGGCCCAAGTAAAAGGAACATTTGGGCTAGGGATTTAGCTCAGTGGTGCCGCCGCCTGCCTCGAAAACACAAGGTCCTGAGTTCAATCCCCAGTCCCCCCCACAAAAGGAGCATTTTGTGGGGAGTCCCCAGGACTGAGAAGCTATCATAGGCGATGAGGGCCTGCCTGATGGAGAAGAGAGAGAATCCAGGTAGGGGAGAGGGGGCTGCTAAACAGCCGTAGCCAGAGGTGCTCCCTCATGTTCTTTTACTAGAATGAGACCCCTCACAGGAACCTGAAAAGGGCCTGCATCTGCAGGTGGAAAGGAGCTGAACCCACACCCTTATGAGCAACATCCGCCCACTCAGAAGCTCCTCCAGAAGCTGTAGGCAGGAAAAAGGAAGCAGACAAATGTCCTCACCACACCAACAGTTCATGTGGCTGGTGATGTGTGGTGGGTGCTGTGATGGGCTGTGGAGTTCTGCGGAGTGCGTGGTCCAGCTTACCCCAGAGAAAGTGACCATGGAGGCAGAAAGAATCTGGTCACCTGAAGAATGTGTCTGAAGAGGGCAGGTGTATGCGTTAGAGTGTGGTTGTGGTCTCGCAGAGGCATCTGTGGGAGGGGAGTGTCTACGTCAGAGCATCCCACGTGGAGGATGAAATGCACAGGACCCCATAGGCTGAGGGTACCTGTGAGAGCTGTTACCTTTTGTCATGGTAGGGAACCATGGGCCATATTCAGAAAAGTAGGTCATTGTAGGTCATGGCAACAGATTCTATAAACATTTCCTTTTCAAGGCTCACTGTTTCCTAAGGTGTCCCTGCAGCTGTTAACGGTCCCCACTTAATTAAACTTTCCAACAGCCCAGTCCCCTCCCCCAGCACCCTGGCAGTGTTCCCCACATACAGACAGTGGTGTGTGCTGGTGACTCCCTGGGGACCTTAGGGGACCATGAGTGGGAGTGTACAGAGCAGCTGGTGGCAGGGCTGAGTGGGAACAGTCGGGGCGGAGGTGTACAGGGGTGGATGTGGCCAGGGTGTGGGTAAATTACAGGGGTATTTGCAGAGATTCCATAAACTGTAAGTAATGACCCAGTTTTTAGAACCAATACACAGCTGCACATGACCTGAATGCCAGGTAAAGTGCCAGAGCTTCCCATGTGCTCTCAAAAGCAGGAGCAACAGGCATGAAGCCAACATGACCCTGGAGAGGCTCAAGAAGGAGGCACCCGGGCCGAGGATTTAGCTCAGTGGTTCTACTGCCTGCCTTGCAAGCACAAGGACCCGAGTTTGATACCCATACAAAAAAAAAAAAAAAAGAGAGAGAGAGATGCTGGGCCAGTGCTAACATTTCCACTTTTCTAGGTCCATGACCACATCTAAGATCCGAGAGGACCAGTGTCCAAGCCTACTTCTTGCCCTCTCCTGACTTCTTCACTGCTTTTCATAGGAAATGGGTTGTTAGAGTAGACAAGGGGAGGGGCCCAACTGTGAGGGCACTGGGAAGAATTGGCTCTGTGGGAAGCGGTTCATCTGTAACAACTTTGAGAAGTCCAGCCAACATCAGGAACTCCCTAAAACTCAGAAAGTTAGATTATATCTGTCGTCATTACTGTAGCTCTCTGATCTCTGGGAAGTCCTTGTCTATGGACAGAGTGTGGACAGAATAAAGACCTTCTCAAAATGTTCACACCCTAATCCCTGGAACCTGTGAGTATATTACTTCATCTGACAAGATGTAGATTCAAGTAAGTGAAATCCTTTTAATGGGAGATCATCTTGTGTCGTCCTGATCATCTTGGTCTATTCACATGCATCCTCAAAAGGGAGGACCTCTGCCAGCCGTGGGAAGAAGATTTGAGGAGGGAAGAAGGATCAGCGAGACGTGACATGAAAACTCAACCAGCAGTTTCTGGCTTTAAAGCTAAAGAAAGAGAACCATAAGCCAAAGAATTCAGACGGCTTCTAGAAGCTGGAAAAGCAAGAAAAGGATTTTCCTTTTTTACTTCCAGAAAGGAACCCAGCCCTGCTGACACCTTGATTTTAGTCAGAGACCTATGTCAAACTTCTAACCTCTAAAACTGTAAGGTAATAAATTTGTATTATTTAAGCCACCAAGTTTGTGGTAATTTGCCAGAGCAGCAAGAGATAAGTTTCCTGAGTTGTAGAGAAAGCATGATGTAAGGGAAAGTACCGGATTCTGTGGATAAAGTTCAGCCCTGCCACATATGTGACTTTGGACAGGTCACAGTTTCCCATGTTTAAGATATAATAAGATAGGCTAGACCCGAATCAAGAATGCAGTTGCTAAATGCAAGAGGTGTAAACTTTAACAAAGGCCTCCTTAAAAATATGTCTTGGGGGCGGGGGATTTAGCTCAGTGGTTTTGCCACCTGCTGCGCAAGTGCAAGGCCCCAAGTTAGATCCCTGGTACCAAAAAAAATGTCTTGGGAAAAATAAATGAATAAAAATTTTTTAAAAAAAGAAATCACTGTTTAAAAAAAATGTGTCTTGGGGGTGGGGATGTAGCTCAGTGGCACTGTGCCTGTCTGCCTGGCAAGCACAAGGTCCTGAGGTCAATCCCTGGTACCAAAAAAAAAGACAAAATTTGGATTCAAAAAATAAATTACATAAGCATAGGATGGAGGGCATCTTAGATGAACAATAGTTTATATACAAAATGTTCAAAGGGAAAGACAGTTATCAGGCATGTTGGAGTTGAAAAACAATTTTTTTGTGAGACAGGGTCTTCCTATGTAGTCCCAGTTGGCCTTGAACTCACTATGTGGCCTCAAACTTGAATCTTCTGCCTCAGTCTCCCAAATACATGAATCACCACACCCAGCTAATGGATTTTACAGAGCCAGCCAGGTTTTTTCTTTTTTTTTAGCAGTATGTATTTTCAATACATAATAATTACATTCATCTTGGGGAATTGGTACATATACACACTGCATCTTCATCTATTTTTATGTGTTTGTTTGTTTTTTTATGGTACTGGGGATCGAACTTGGGACCTTGTGCTTTTCGAGGCAGGTGGCAGAACCACTGAGCTAAATCCCCGACCCCTTAATCTATTTTTACTTTCCCTTCTGCTAACCATCTTATTTTACAAATTAGGAAACTGGGCTCTACAGGCTATAAGCTCCTTATAAACTACCCGAGTGACCAGGATTTGCGACCAAAGGCTGCCCCATCAGACTGCTTTACCAAATATGTTAAACATGGTGTCAGCTACACCTATGCCCCTCTGAAGGGGACAAACCCTTGCTGATGAGGCACCTTAGTCCCAAGAATTGTGCTTGTGATCCCCTCCAGCCCTCCTGACCTCACCAAGTTAAAATAAGCGGCCAACGGCCTCAAGGTTGGCCAACTTGTGGACAAGCCAGTGGCCAGGAAATCAGGGATGGGGTGAGCTTACCAGATGTTCATCCTCAGAAACTTAAAGGGAAAATACAGAGATGACCACTCAGCTAGCAGTGAGAGCTAAAAGGGAAAGGATACTTAGAGAGGATGTCAAGGGCCAGGGATTTAGCTCAGTGGTTCTGACGCCTGCCTTGCAAGCGCAAGGTCCTGAGTTCAATCCCTGATACCAAAAACAAAAAACAAAAAAAAGAATATTACAATTTTGGGGCTGGGGATTTAGCTCAGTTGATTCTGCCACCTGCCTTCCAAGCACAAGGATCCGGTTTCAATCCCCGGTTCCACACACACACACAAAAAGAGGCTGTCAGTCCAGAGTCAAGATCCTCCATACTTAGCAACCCAGCCTGGCAACTCCTGGCTTTCGAATTAGTG